TTACCTTTTCTTTTTTTTTTCTTCTTTGCTCTTCTCTATTAGTCTTTTTCCTTTTCCTTTCATTCTCTTCATTTTCCTTCCTATCTGTTGCTTCCCTCTTTTCTTACAGTTTTCTTTCTTTTTTTTTTTTCTTCTTTGCTCTTCTCTATTAGTCTTTTCCTCTTTCCTTTACATTCTCTTCATTTTCCTTCCTATACTTTACTTCCCCTCTTTTCTTACCCTTTCTTTCTTTTTTTTTCTTCTTTTGCTCTTCTCTATTAGTCTTTTTCCTTTTCCTTTACGTTCTCTTCATTTTCCTTCCTATACTGTTGCTTCCCCTCTTTTCTTACCCTTTCTTTCTTTTTTTCTTCTTTGCTCTTCTCTATTAGTCTTTTCCTCTTTCCTTTACGTTCTCTTCATTTTCCTCCTATACTGTTGCTTCCCTCTTTTCTTACTCTTTCTTTCTTTTTTCTTCTTTGCTCTTCTCTATTAATCTTTTTCCTCTTTCCTTTACATTCTCTTCATTTTCCTTCCTATACTGTTACTTCCCTCTCTTTTCTTACTCTTTTCTTTCATTTTTTTTTTTCTTTTGCTCTTCTCTATTAGTCTTTTCCTCTTTTTTTCTTTACGTTCTCTTTTTTTTCCTTCCTATACTATTTTGCTTCCCCTCTTTTCTTCCTCTTTCTTTCTTTTTTTTTTTTTCTTTTGCTCTTCTCTATTAGTCTTTTCCTCTTTCCTTTACATTCTCTTCATTTTCCTTCCTATACTGTTGCTTCCCCTCTTTTCTTACCATTTTCTTTCCTTTTTTTTTCTTCTTTGCTCTTCTCTATTAGTCTTTTTCCTCTTTCCTTTACGTTCTCTTCTTTTTTCCTTCCTATACTGTTGCTTCCCCTCTTTTCTTACTCTTTTCTTTTTTTTTTTCTTCTTTGCTCTTCTCTATTAGTCTTTTCCTCTTTCCTTTACATTCTCTTCATTTTCCTTCCTATACTGTTTCTTCCCCTTCTTTTCTTACTCTTTTCTTTCTGTTTTTTTTTCTTCCTTGCTCTTCTCTATTAGTCTTTTCTCTTTCCTTTACTTTCTCTTTTTCTTTTCCTTCCTATTTTGTTGCTCCCCTCTTTTTACTTTCTTTTTTTTTTTTCTTTTTTCTCTTCTCTATTAGTCTTTTTCCTCTTTCCTTTTTCTTCATTTTCCTTCCTATACTGTTTTTTCTTTTCTTACCCTTTCTTTCTTTTTTCTTCTTTGCTCTTCTCTGTTAGTCTTTTCCTTTTCCCTTTACGTTCTCTTCATTTTTCCTTCCTATACTGTTGCTTCCCTTTCTTTTCTTTCTTTTTTTTTTCTTTTTCTCTTTCTTTTTTCTTCTTTACATTCTCTTCTTCTCTATTATATTTCTTTTTCCTCTTTCTTTTTTTTTCTTTGCTCTTCTCTTCATTTTCCTTCCTATATTTTACTTTTACTGTTGCTTCCCCTCTTTTCTTACCTTTTTTTTTCTTTTTTTTCTTTGCTCTTCTCTATTAGTCTTTTCCTCTTTCCTTTCATTCTCTTCATTTTCCTTTACTGTTTCTTCCCTCTTTTCTTTTTTTTTTCTTTTTTTTCTTCTTTGCTCTTCTCTATTAGTCTTTTCCTTTTTCCTTTCTTTCTCTTTTTTTCCTTCCTTCTTTGCTTCCCCTTCTTTTCTTACTGTTATTTTTTTTTTTCCTTGCTCTTCTCTTTAGTCTTTTCCTCTTTCTTTACATTCTCCATTTTCCTTCCTATACTGTTGCTTCCCCCTCTTTTCTTTTTTTTTTTTTTTTTTTCTTCTTTGCTCTTCTCTATTAGTCTTTTCCTCTTTTTCCTTTACATTCTCTTCATTTTCCTTCCTATACTGTTCTTCCCTCTTTTCTTACCCTTTCTTTCTTTTTTTTTTTTTCTTCTTTGCTCTTCTTTTCCTTTTTCCTTTTTCCTTTACATTCTCTTCATTTTCCTTCCTATACCCTTCCCCTCTTTTCTTACCCTTTCTTTTTTTTTTTCTTTGCTCTTCTTCTTTTTCCTCTTTCCTTTTAGTTCTCTTCATTTTCCTTCCTATAATGTTTTCCCTCTTTTTACTTTTCTTTCTTTTTTCTTCTTTGCTCTTCTCTATTAGTCTTTATACAACCTTTGCTTCTCTTCATTTTCTTTTTTTCTTTTCTCTTTCTTTTTTTTTTTTCTTCTTTGCTCTTCTCTGTTAGTCTTTTCCTCTTTCCTTTACATTCTCTTCATTTTCCTTCCTATACTGTTGCTTCCCTCTTTTCTTACCCTTCTTTTTTTTTTTTTTTCTTCTTTTCTCTATTAGTCTTTTTCCTTTTTTCCTTTACGTTCTCTTCATTTTTTTATTTGCTTCCCCTCTTTTCTTACCTTTCTTTCTTTTTTTCTTCTTTCTCTTTCTATTAGTCTTTTTCTTTTTTTTTCCTTTACATTCTCTTCATTTTCCTTCCTGTTACTTTTGCTTCCCTTCTTTTTCTTACTCTTTCTTTTTTTTTTCTTCTTTTGCTCTTCTCTATTAATCTTTTCCTCTTTCCTTTACATTCTCTTCATTTTTTCCTTCCTATACTGTTACTTCCCCTCTTTTCTTACCCTTCATTCTTTTTTTTTCTCCTTTGCTCTTCTCTATTAGTCTTTTCCTCTTTCCTTTACATTCTCTTTATTTTCCTTCCTATACTGTTGCTTCCCCTCTTTTCTTACCTTTCTTTTTTTTTTTTCTTCTTTGCTCTTCTCTATTAGTCTTTTCCTCTTTCCTTTTTACATTCTCTTCATTTTCCTTCCTATACTGTTACTTCCCTCTTTTCTTACCCTTCATTTTCCTTTTTTCTTCTTTGCTCTTCTCTATTAGTCTTTTTCTTTCCTTTTCCCCGTTCTCTTCATTTTCCTTCCTATACTGTTGCTTCCCCTCTTTTCTTACCAGTTTCTTTTCTTTTTTTTTGCTCTTTCTATTAGTCTTTTCTCTTTCCTTTACGTTCTCTTCATTTTCCTTCCTATTTTGCTTCCCCTCTTTTCTTACCCTTTCTTTTTTTTTTTCTTCTTTGCTCTTCTCTATTAGTCTTTTCCTCTTTTCCTTTACATTCTCTTTATTTTCCTCCCTATACTGTTACTTCCCCCTCTTTTCTTACTGTTTGTTTTTTTTTCTTTTTTCTTCTTTGCTCTTCTCTATTAGTTTTTTCCTCTTTCCTTCCCGTTTCTTCATTTTTTTTCCTTTTTCTTATTCTTTTTCTTTCCCTTTTTTCTTTTGCTCTTCTCTATTTCTTTTTTTCTTTCCTTTACATTCTCTTTATTTTCCTTCCTTACTGTTCTTTCCCTCTTTTCTTACTGTTTCTTTTTTTTTTTTTTTCTTTTTTTCTTCTAGTCTTTTCCTCTTTTCCTTTACGTTCTCTTCATTTTCCTTCCTATACTGTTGCTTCCCCTCTTTTCTTACTCTTTTCTTTTTTTTTTTTCTTCTTTGCTCTTCTCTATTAGTCTTTTCCTCTTTCCTTTACATTCTCTTTATTTTCCTTCCTATACTGTTACTTCCCCTCTTTTCTTACCCTTTCTTTCTTTTTTCTTCTTTTTGCTCTTCTCTGTTAGTTTTTCCTTTTCCTTTTACATTCTCTTCATTTTCCTTCCTATACTGTTACTTCCCTCTTTTCTTACCTTTTCTTTCTTTTTTTTTTTCTTTGCTCTTCTCTATTAGTCTTTTCCTCTTTCCTTTTTTCTCTTCTTTTCCTTCCTATACTGTTGCTTCCCCTCTTTTCTTACTGTTTCTTTCTTTTTTTTTTCTTCTTTGCTCTTCTCTATTAGTCATTTCCTCTTTCCTTTAAATTCTCTTCATTTTCCTTCCTATACTGTTGCTTCCCCTCTTTTCTTACTCTTTCTTTCTTTTTTTTTCTTCTTTGCTCTTCTCTATTAGTCTTTTCCTCTTTCCTTTACGTTCTCTTCATTTTCCTTCCTATACTGTTGCTTCCCCTCTTTTCTTACTCTTTCTTTCTTTTTTTTTCTTCTTTGCTCTTCTCTATTAGTCTTTTCCTCTTTCCTTTACGTTCTCTTCATTTTCCTTCCTATACTGTTGCTTCCCCTCTTTTCTTACTCTTTCTTTTTTTTTCTTCTTTGCTCTTCTCTATTAGTCTTTTTCCTTTTTTTACATTCTCTTCATTCTCCTTCCTATACTGTTACTTCCCTCTTTTCTTTCTTCATTCCTTTTTTTTTTCTTTTTCTCTTCTCTATTAGTCTTTTCCTCTTTCCTTTACGTTTTCTTCATTTTCCTTCCTACTGTTGCTTCCCCTCTTTTCTTACTCTTTCTTTTTTTTTTTTTTTCTTCTTTGCTCTTCTCTATTAGTCTTTTTTCCTCTTTCCTTTACATTCTCTTCATTTTTCCTTCCTATACTGTTACTTCCCCTCTTTTCTTACCCTTCATTCCTTTTTTTTCTTCTTTGCTCTTCTCTATTAGTCTTTTCCTCTTTCCTTTACGTTCTCTTTATTTTCCTTCCTATACTGTTGCTTCCCCTCTTTTCTTACTCTTTCTTTTTTTTTTTCTTCTTTGCTCTTCTCTATTAGTCTTTTCCTCTTTCCTTTACATTCTCTTCATTTTCCTTCCTATACTGTTACTTCCCCTCTTTTCTTACCCTTCATTCCTTTTTTTTCTTCTTTGCTCTTCTCTATTAGTCTTTTCCTCTTTCCTTTACGTTCTCTTCATTTTCCTTCCTATACTGTTGCTTCCCCTCTTTTCTTACTCTTTCTTTCTTTTTTTTCTTCTTTGCTCTTCTCTTTAGTTTTTTTCCTTTTTCCTTTAAATTCTCTTCATTTTTTTTCCTTCCTATAGTCTTTCCTGTTACTTCCCTCTTTTCTTTCTTTCTTTTCTTTTTTTCTTCTTTCTCTTCTCTATTAGTCTTTTCCTCTTTCCTTTACGTTCTCTTCATTTTCCTTTCTATACTGTTGCTTCCCTCTTTTCTTACTCTTTTTTTTTTTTTCTTCTTTGCTCTTCTCTATTAGTCTTTTCCTCTTTCCTTTAAATTCTCTTCATTTTCCTTCTTATACTGTTGCTTCCCCTCTTTTTTTCCTTTTCTTTCTTTTTTTTTCTTCTTTGCTCTTCTTTATTAGTCTTTTCCTCCTTCCTTTACGTTCTCTTTATTTTCCTTCCTATACTGTTGCTTCCCCTCTTTTCTTCCCCTTTCTTTCTTTTTTCTTCTTTGCTCTTCTCTATTAGTCTTTTCCTCTTTCCTTTACGTTCTCTTTATTTTCCTTCCTATACTGTTGCTTCCCCTCTTTTCTTACCCTTTCTTTCTTTTTTTTCTTCTTTGCTCTTCTCTATTAGTCATTTCCTCTTTCTTTTACATTCTCTTCATTCTCCTTCCTATACTGTTGCTTCCTCTCTTTTCTTACTCTTTTTCATTCTTTTTTCTTCTTTTTCTTTCTTCCTGCTCCTAGTCACGATTACTTTTTTCCGCTCACCTTTTTCTTCTTTTGCACCCCCTCCGTCTTTCTTTTATCTTCTTACTTTCTTTCCAATAATATTTTTTCAATCTTACACTTTAAATTAACCAGGCCAGCCAACGTAGAAGCCATCATGTTTGACCGGCTTCCTACTCTTCCTTCTTCTTCATTATTTTTTTTTTTCTATTTTCTTAAATCCATCCCACCCTAACCCTAGCACCACACGCCCATCCAACTCACCCCCACTCTATGCATGCCCTCTTCCCATCCATTTCAGGCCACCAGCAACCCAATATCGATCTTTCTCCCTCCCCTTCTCCACATCTTTTTCCTCCATCCAAATCGTTATCAGTTCCTTCTACCTCCAGTTATCAATTTTAAGCCGGAATAACCCACTCCAACCCTTTTCTTATTTTCCTGCTGATCACAGCCGACCGCCCCTACTACGACTCCCCTCCCATGAATGGCTACCCATACATTTCCAACACTCCGACCATTCTAACGGTACTCCATTCTTATCTCCACAAGTACCTCCACCAACACCCTCCCTCATCGAACCTGTCTCCTTCTTCCCGCTAGATCTTCCTGAAACCCTCACGCCTATTTTCATTCTCTCCTCCTCCACCACTATCTATTTACGCCCCCCCCACCATCCTCATTCAGCCAACCTTCCTTGGCTCCACGAAATGGCTGCAGTCTCAAGGAATTACGTTAATTTACAGTTTTAGTGTGAGAGCATCCCGCCTTCCCTGACTTCGACCCTTGCGTATTGGGCTTAATGCTGTTCTTCAATACCATACCAGCGTTTTTGACATAAAAAAAAAAAATGCTAAGAAAATTACAGAACAAAAGAGTAAAAGAAAGAAAGAATTCTGTCTCGATAAAGAGGATAATCTGGCAAACCTCTTGCTGTAGTTTGAATAAATTAAATGCAAAGACGAAAAAAAAAAAAAGAAAAAGAAAAAAGGACGTTATTTATTTCACTTGTTTTTCGTATTTCTCTAAAAACAGAGACATACATTCTAAAAATATTATTTACTTTATATTTTCTGCATATACAAATTACACATTTTGCTAGTTAAAAAAAGTTATTTTACACATGTCTGTGGAGAAAGAATACGCAGTAATAAAAGTAGTATTAATCTGTAATTCCCAGCCCTCCCCAAACTTGGGCGACTAGCATTACATATAACATATTAATATGTGTTACAAACTAAAATATCTGCCTATATTTCTGAGTTGAGGTATTGTAACTATTTATATAAAAAAAAGGCTACTCTGGTATTTGAAATTCCAAGAAATATCTCCTGACGAAAACCGGGGCATACAGCGGCCGAAACCTCGTGAATATGGCAATAAAAAATTAGGACAACAATCAGAACAATATAAATAGTGTAAATTCTATGATTAAAACTGTTTTATATATACATTTCTGTTTAATCATTTCCAAGCAATGCGATAATGCCACTAAGACGCAATGGGTTACGAATGGTTCGATTGATCGTTTTTCTACAACTTATCAACCTTTTGAAGGTAGTTTAAAACCAGGTAATTTTTTTATTGTAAAAATTTTATTTTAAAATAATAATGATTTAGTGATAAGGGTCTTACTAATTAACCCATATCTGGGTAGAAGAAGAGGGTAATTCATACCTATCCCAGGGGTATTTGCGAATATAACGAACGCAAATGGAATTTAAACTCGGGTCTCTGTTAAGGGAAAGATAATAACATTTTAAAAGGAACCGGAAATCCAATCCTAAACAGGATACAAGGGATAAACGTGTGCTTCTATTCAATGGACTGGGAAGGTGCATGAACCGGGCGATAGACGAAACTATATTATCGTATTGGAAATAAAAATAAGAAAAAAATAATAGAAAAGTTTTCGGAGTTGAAGTGAAAAATATAGAATTAATTATGACCACGTGAGATTTAATTTCATGAATTAAGGTAGTTAATTATGTAACCTAAATGAATTTAATAATTATTCATATTAATTATAATTAATTACTTATAATTAATTATAGATACTTATAAACCTATAATTAATATAGGATTTTTATAACCTGTACATCATACTGTTTTTTTTCTGTTTGTAACATAGTAATATATAATACAGTTAGAAACGAAAATTATCTACCAAGTGGAGTAATGGATAGCGGCGCGAAGTGAGGATTCGGAGAGCCGAGTTCGCATTCTAAACGAAACCATTACATTCACTTACGTCCTAATAATACCCTTGGGAAAGGTATGAATCCTCTTCTTCTCCCCTACGGGCCAGTATCAGAATGTATCGAGTGTTCCAATAAGTTGAACCGATCTTAAATGTCAATTAACTTTAAGCGTCGAATGATCTTTTTCTTACTGATTTAACAACTTGTCTTTGGCAATGTCAAACATGGAAAAAATTAACAATCAAACAACGTATGAAAATTGTTAAATCTGAAAGAAAATGAAAAAATCATTACACGCTTAAACATAATTCAGATTCGAAATAGGGCCAGATTATTGGACCACCCTATATATTTATTTGAAAAGATATAATTTAGTGCCAATTCTTTTTTTTTGTATTGAACCTAGGCACGTTTCGGTGAACACTTCATCAGGGAAAAACGTTGGCAAAATTATTATATCTAAAGTTTTTTGAGAATATATTAAATATGGAGGAAAATTAGGAATTTGTCTAAAAAAAAAATCCACGATTAAAATATACGTAAAACATAAACAAAAGAAGCTAAATTAAATCGGGCAAACTATATATTTCAATCGCCTATTTAATTTTTTTGACATACTCCAAATCTTCCTCCTTATTTCATATATTCTCACACAAATCTAGATATAATAATTTTGCCAACGTTGTTCCATGATGAAATGTTGGTCGAAAGGTGACTAGGTTCGATACAAAAAAATCGGGACTTTTCAAACCAATTTATGCATTCTGTGGCATCAAATTGTTATATATATATATATATATATATATATATATGAAAAGTGTATATAAATATAAATAACTATATATATGTATAATTATTTATATATTATATGCGCGGTACTTATTAAGCGCTCAATATCAGGATAGAGGCTAACATATTTGGTTGGATAGGTGTGAATTTGTGACCCTAGGTTTCACGCTTTAGCGATCGTCAGACAAACTAAAGCGTGAAACTCAGGGTCCTAAACATCTATCAACAAATATATATATATATATATATATATATATATATATATATATATGTGTGTGTGTGTGTGTGTGTGTGTGTTTTGGGTTGGTGCATAATTATCAGGCGTTTTTTTAAACAATATTTATTATGAAAGAAGAACAACTATTCAACAGTAACATTTCTAAATGATTGTTTCGGGGCGCATGATTATCTACATGCACTTTTTATAACAGGGAAATAAAATAATATTTTTATTAAAAAAGTAAACAAAGCAACAGATTTTATTAACAAAACTCGCCTACAAAAACGCCTGATTATTTGCACCAATATATATATATATATATATATATATATATATATATATATATATATATATATATATATATATATATATATATATATATATAGAAATGGACAAAGTCCGACAATTTATTTATTAAAGACATTTTTATGTTTTAACGTTGTTTTTTTATAGATACAAGTATTTAAGTAAATGCTCTGTTTATGATAAACAGTATTAAATAACATTTACCGGTAGACAAAGGTCAATTTACTGCTTATAAACTTCAATTCGACCTTGTCTACCGAATTTCTCCTTGCGGCCGATCGGATAAGGCACGTCAGCGTAAATGACGGTTCCGTATAGGATGCAGGTTCGAATCCTGTCAAAGGACGAATATTTTCTATGAAAATTTTCTCCGGACATTCAGGCCGGTAAATGTTATTTAATACTGTTTTCATAAATCGCCAAACTTAAATACTTGATCTATAAAAACGATTAAATATATAAATATATATATATTATATATATATGAACAATTGTGGGAAAATATATGGCAAAGTGGAAAAATTTTTCGTGTGACACTATTCGTTCTGAATGATTTTGGCGGATTAAATAATAATTACCATGAAGTATACAAAAAATATTATATTAATACAAAATGGATATTTTACAAAGTAGCACACTCGGTGTCTTGCTTGCACACCCTATGAGTCAGACCATGATGTCGATTTAAAAAATGCTAATCTAATTAAAAAGGCGAAAACGATTTACTAAAATGCATAGAAAGTACTTTAATTGTTAGATCATCCACACTAAAATTACGTCCAGGTTCTTACATTTCACCTTTATTGGTACACCTTGTATTATCAAAATGTGGAATATTTAATAACAAAACTGATTGTTTACACTATTTAATTGTTCGGTCCTCATCTTTATTCCCATATTCACAAACTATCAGCCGTTTTGCACTCCGGCCTTCTTCAGGTGATATCTCTTGGAATTTCGAACCGTAACTTTTATTTAGTGCTCGCGGTTAGATTGTTCTAATTCCACTAGCCATGCCTTTGGATATCTCTGTTTCAATTAATTTCCCTTGATAACTCTCCAAGTTTTTGTTCCCCATGCTGTGGCCGGAAATGGCAATAAAGATGTGGATAACAGTCCGAACGATGTAAATGGTGTAAATAATTACCAATACCTCAGCTCAGAAATAAACACACAAAAAAAGTGATAAAAATATAAGAAAAAGAAAGTAAATTAAATCGGGTAAACTCTATATCTAGACACATTTTTTTAAAATTAAATTTAAATTTACAATTTCAATGTCCCATCACCTTCATAGGCATGTGTAATCACATCAATATATACATCACTTTATTCGGATAAAGCCTGAAAGGATGAAATGCTTACAGGTAGAAATACAAGGTGAGTGAAATATAACACCCTGTTTTATGCATGTGTGTCCAGCCAGCAGTCCTGACATAAAACCCTGTGATTTTTTTCTTTGGGGTTTGGTTATAGAAAGTCTACTACACCAAACCAATACTTTGAAAGAACTTAAACGGCAAATGCAATAAGTTAATTCTTCAAAACTACAAAAACCCCTGGTGAAATCTGTTGACGCTATTCCTGGGCGGCCCGAGAATCTTGTAGCAAAATCCGGTGCCCATAATGAATTTTAAATAAAACCTCATGCTAAACGCTTTCATCTCATAGCCATTTCTTGTAAAAAATTATAGTTCATTAATAAATTATACGTATTTAAAAAGGGGAACAAATAATCATCTTATTTATTATAAAACACAGATTGTGTGTGTGTGTGTGTCTGTACGTTTATATTTTGGATCGGATTTCCTACATTTTTCAACCGATTTCAACAAAACTTCACAGGACTAGGTAAAATTACCTTGCAGTGGTTCTGACAGCGCATAAAAAATTGGAAAAACACCATTGTTTTTTGCACGAAATCAATTGAAAACACGATTAAGAGGCATTAATGAAGGGGACAACACATATCGAGTTATACTTATTATAAAACCCAGGTTGTTTGTGTGTGTGTGTGTGTGTGTTCGTTTATATATGGGATCGGATTTCTTACATTTTTCAACCGATTTCAACAAAACCTCACTTTTTTTTTGGCAGGTAGTGTTTTTTTATTGTCTTGCACACTTTTTTCTTTATTTTTACATTCAGAATGCTTTAAAAATTCCATTTACAAGACAATTGTTTATAATAAAATTCTGTTCAATCAGTAGACTCATAA